TTAAATTCTTTAGTCATTGCTGCGGAATGATTGTCAGTAATTTCAGAAATGAAAATTAACTTTATTCAAGTTGACTTATTAAAATCTCCTGAATTGAATTTAATCGTCCTTATTATTTTTGTCCACAGTCAAAGAAACTTTTGAGCTATTTATAAAGTAGCGACATTTATTTTTAAAAGTATGTCGTCACTAATACCTACGTTATTTTTAATTACATTCTTTTTTATACAGACCAAGAATTCCAGATTATTCTTCCTCGATGTTCAAAACTTAAAATGACATGTTTTTCCATTAAATATCAAATGAAATGTAAAAATTGACATCTCATTGTAAAATGAAACGTCAATATTGTAAAATTGCAGAATTCATTTTTTAGACTTTTTGACAAACTTTGTGGCCGAGTGTTATTTACGCCGGATTTCAGGGTTTTGCCTACTCGTGAGGTCCCGGGTTCAAATCCCGGTGGGGGCAGATGTTTGTGTGATGAATACGAGCATTTGTACTCCAGTCATGGATGTTTCATATGTATTTCTAAATAAAAATATACTTATATATGTACAGTATAGAAAAAATTAAAAGCAAATTATGAAAAAAATGAACTACTCAAAGCAGGCAAGGATAGCAAACGCCTTTGGAGACATATTAAAAATTTTACCTACACTTCAAAAAGGCACGAATCGTGTTCGAGTTTACTATTAACCCATCCTTCACCGCTTATATCAGCCAATTATGTAAATAACTATTTTATTAATATGGGAAAAGACCTTGCAGAACGCCACCAACCTCTAAATTTATTTTCTCAGTCACTTAACGCTACCACTAGTAGGAATAGTTTTGTTATGTTAGATACCGACCAACAAGAAATTTTACAAATAATTACAAATTTGAAAGATGACAGTGCAGTCGGCTTTGATAACATTAGCAATAAAATCCTCAAAACTTTTAAGCATATTTTAATACCACCGTTAACACGCATTTTTCAAATCTGCCTCTCGCAGGGTATTTTTCCACAATGTTTAAAAAAAGCAGTAGTTACTCCTGTCTATAAATCTGGATGTAAAGATCAAGTAAATAACTATAGACCAATATCAGTGCTTCCATCCTTATCAAAACTATTAGAAAAAATTATTAACAAAAGGCTTATTGACTACCTGGAAAAAAATAACTATTTGTCACCTACGCAATTTGGTTTTCGGGCAAAGTTGTCAACAGCAGATGCGGTGCATAACCTGACTAACTATATTACTCAGGAACTAGGCAAAGGAAAGCATACTCTAGCTGTTTTTCTTGATTTAGCAAAAGCGTTCGATACCGTTTCAATTCCGAAGCTTCTAAAAAAGTTGGAAGCATTGGGTATTAGAGGAACGCAGTTAAAACTGTTTGCAGATTATTTAGACAATCGATCTCAATGCGTTAAAATAGGAAATATTAAAAGTGATTACCAGAAAATGACCTGCTATGGTATTCCCCAGGGAAGTATAATCGGCCCTACCCTTTTTCTCGTTTACATCAATGATTTATGTAACCTTAATTTAAAATGTGGTAAAATTATATCTTACGCCGATGATACGGCCTTGATTTTTAGCGCCAATAGTAGGTCAGAATTATATGAGGTAGCTCAACTTGGTCTTAATGGTGTAAATAACTGGCTTCGCTGCAATTTACTAACACTGAATACTGACAAAACCAATTATATTCACTTTTCTATGCGCCAGCCTTGTCATGGGTTTACAAATCCTAACTTATACGCACACCAATGCCAATATCCTTCAGTCAATAAATGCGATTGCCCTTTAATACAGAACACATCCCATATAAAATATCTTGGTATCTTAATTAACGACACATTATCTTTTAGACAGCATATTGCAAATCTAGTAGTCAGGATCCGTAAATTAATGTATATTTTTAAAAAATTACGTACCATTGCAGGTCCAAAACTAATTAAACAGGTATATCAGGCCTTATGCCAATCAGTAATTCAATATTGTATAACTTCATGGGGTGGAGCTCTCAAAACTATTTTAATCCCTCTCGAGCGAGCTCAGAGAGCCATTTTAAAAGTAGCCAATTCACTTCCCTTCTTATATCCTACGCATCAACTTTACAAATACTGTAATGTGTTAACTGTTCGCCAGATTTTCATTATGCACACCATATTAAAACAACACACCATTTCACCTTTTTGCTCTGATATCACTAACAAAAGACGGAAAGATATAGTCTGCATCTCTACACATGATTCAAAATACATATTTTCACATAGATTCTCTACTTTCCTAAGTCCTTTCTTATATAATAAGTTGAATAGAGTATTAGGTATTTATACATTAAACTATTTTAACTGTAGAACTGTAGTATTTAATTATTTGCATAGCCTGACATACGAGCAGACCGAAGAATTACTTCTTATTTGTAAATAAATGAACGTAACTCCATAATTTACATTTACCAACATTTATATAACGATTACTTTAAGTTCTGTTTTAATTAATTTGTTAATTTATTAATCATTCAATGTATTATTTAGATCATAAAAGCCTGAAATACAGGTACAATTTTAACTGTAACCTAGTTCAGGCATCCATTATTTTGTACTTTATATTGTTATTAGTATTATTATGCAATGTATGACCTTATTTGAATAAAGATATATATTTATATATATATGTATTCTATCCGTTACCCTAGTATCCCATAACACAAGCCTTACAGTGCTTACTTTGGGGCTAGGTTAATTGGTGTGAGTGTTGGATATATTTATTTATTTTATTATTTTTATTTATTTACTATAATACCTTTCAAACATTTAATTAGTTTTTATATTGTATCATGTTTTAAATATGGGTCTTAGCTACCTGCAATCAATAATTTTATTATTATTATTATAGTCAAGATTATCTGTGCCAAAGCGCATCAAATTCCATCCCGGGGGTCTTTAGTTATTTTAAGTTAAATATAAAACATATATAGAATTAATTTAGTTAGTTAGTTCGACCCTACATAGGGTGCCACATACCACATATGCCATAGACCACAGATTAGACAAACTTGTCCACGCTTCGGAGAACACTTGATTCCAGTTCATCCATACTAATTGATAAAACCGATAATCGTGTTCCTATATCCAAAGCGTGTTAGATAAAAATCAATCAAGTATCAGGGAACGCACAATCACAACGAAGTAAGACGAGTCGACTTTGTATTTTAACTACAAGTCCTTCAGCATCCGTAAACCGTTTTGAAATGTCTCATTAAGAGCAAGGGCAGGATGGTCGGCAGGCTTTGTCGTATATCTGGTTGTATAGTACGATATGGCATATTATTATGATTACTAATAATATAAAATGAAGGTACTATAAAATGAATTTATTCAGCCACTTGAATATGCCCATGTGTCATATCTATTGACTACCAGGATATTTTTTACGGTGTCATATCTTTTGACTCCCAGGATATTTATTTTCGGTGTCATAATAAAAAGGCTAGTTTTTCATAGATCTATCGATTCATGCTAATTACATTGTTGGCGGAGCTGGGTGTGTTTTGCCCATTGTCCTTTATGCAAAGGAAGATCAGTAATACTAGCAGCAATTTATTATAAATATAAAAATGAAAGTGTGTGCGTCTCGGGACGCACGACAGAAGGCTAACCTGATCGAGGAGCCTTACAGCTGCCTTATGCGTGAGGGGACAGTAAGCCAAATAGACTGGCGCCGTAACGCGTTACGTAACGAAGCATATTTCCCTCTTATAAGAAGTTATCACTTCAAAAGTGATGCATTTTACCAAGAATCAACTTATATTTTTCATAATGCAAACATTGCAATAGCAAGTTTGTTTGTTTCTCGTATTAAAGTTATGATTATCATCTCACATCAGAATATATGTTATTTGTACGCCTCATTGGATAGACATGACCTATACACCCTTATAAGGCGTGATGTATGACAAATTCTGTTAGCTGTTATTGTTGTTGGTCGATTAGTCATGATTTTTTTGATATTCCATCTGTGTGAGACGCAGACGTTAAAAAAACGAGCGGACTTTTGTAAACGATATTAAATGTATAATTTATGTTGGATTACAGTCGTATACATTTATTCATGGTGTACGTACCTATGTCATTGCAATTCACCAAAGATAAATTATACAAGAGTATAATTTCAAGTGTTTATAACAAGAGCGGAGGAGCTCGATGGCGCAGGTGGTTAGTGCGTTCGTCTGCGATCGTTGAAGTTAAGCAACTTTCGCAGTGGTCGGTCATTGGATGGGTGACCAAAAATCTTCTATCTCGAGTTCCTCCGTGCTTCGGAAGGCACGTTAAGCCGTTCTCCCCAGCTGCATCTGCAGCCAATCAGCACTGGGACCAACGGCTTAACGTGATTTACGAAGCACAGAGGAGCACGAGATAGTAAATTTTTTTTGGTCACCCAAGCATTTACCGACTACTGCGAAAGTTGCTGAACTTCAACGGTCGCAGCCGAACGCGCTAACCACTTGCGCCATCGAGCTCCTTAACAGCTTAAAATTAATAAACTATTTTGAAAAAATCCACGCGGACCAGGCAGCAGACGGGACTCGAACCCGCACCCTTCGCTATCCGGGCGAATGCACTGACCAATTATGCTACCGCGGCCCTGATGGCCGCGTCGGAATTATTCTAGCCATTCTTAAGCTGCAAGGCAGCGCCATTTCTTCACATTGTAGGTAACCCACAATGTCAATCGAATACTTTTACAAGTATATAACATTTGAAAGAAGAAATAGCAATTATAGTTATAATTTTTATATTTTAAGCATGTAACTGCTTGATGTTTAAATCTAAAGAAAATATAAATAGAAAAAAAAGATATATTTTCTTTAGATTTAAACATAGGGCAGTTACATGCTTAAAAAATTATAAATTATTTTGAGTTTGATTTAAGGAATATTATTTGTATTATTCACTTACACTCTTAGTTGGGCATGTTTTGATCTGTTATTTTTATTGTTGACAGGCCGTCGAAGCGATTTTAGCGAACGTACCGGAGTGGAAACCTCCACCGTGTACAGTGAAAAAGGGTAAGACATATGAAAATTGTCTATGCATGCATTCATTAGCAGTTATTAAAAAAAAGGTAAATTTAAAAAATCAAAAAACCCGACTGCTTAATTATACTTCAAATAAAAACTGAAAAGAAAAAACCAAGTCCAGTAGTCTATAATTCTGTCAATAAGGAACATTAAAAAATATTATGTATTCTTGAATATCTAATGGGTCCCGACTGTTACAGTAGCTTTGTTCCTTATTAACAGAATTATTGGACTTGTTTTTTTCTTTTCAGTTTTTATTTGAAGTATAATTAAGCAGTCGGGTTTTTTGATTTTTTATATTTACCTTTTTTATTTCACACTTTTTTAGTTAGTATTTTAAGACGGTATATACCGTAGTCTTGTTACTTCAGTAAGGGAATTAATATCGCGGGAATTATTAAGTACCTTGCGTCGGTCTAAAAGATTGATTTATTAAGACATATGAAGACTTTACCCGCGGGGTCAAGGCTACAGATGGGCCTCAATTTTCGCAAAAATGTGTGAAGTTAAATCAAGTCGTTACATAATTATCTCTAATGTATGTAAATTTTATAGTAAACTAGCACTTACTCAAAAAGTCATATTTTGTTTATGTTTTTTTTTAATAGTTTAGCAGTAAATATAAAATTTATTTACTTTCATTCGTCGACTATTTAAAATTGGCAGTGGCTGCATTGTCATGTCAATGCCGGACGTCTAAGATTGTGATATACACAAATTCAGTGTCAGTCTAGTCTCATAATTTGATACACCTACATAATTCACAGAAAGCCAATATGTAGATGCCAGAAGTTAACTTCAAATGTTTTTTATCACCCTATATACAATACCAATCAATGACGTTTATGTCACAGGTTGAAGAAAGCAGTAACTCACGTCTGTTGTTTTGGACAAAGGTGGCTACTGCCTTAGATCACTAAATTAAATAATTATGCAATCACCAAAGTAAAGTTTATAATATTTGATTAAACTAAAGGCGCATAATAAAATTTTCATAACGTTAGGTAGATCTCCATAACAATCTCATTTATTATCAATTTATAGTTCTCTTTGTAGTTTTCTTTTAAAGCGTTCACATTTAAATACTTATCTTATCCTAACTATCTATACTAATATTATAAAGAGGCAAGATTTGTATGTTTGTAACAAATAATCTGTCAAACTACTGAACCGGTTTCAAATATTAATTCATCATAAGGTAGCTACAGTGTTTATTATTAAATTTTTCTTTATTTAAATACATTTAGTCCGAGTGACATAGGCTATATTTTATCCCGATAAATAAATTTCGCCCGTACAATGCCCGGGTGGATCACTAGTAAGTATAATATAATATTATAGATGCGAAAGTGATTTTGTTTGTTGCGCTTCCGTGCCCTAATAGCTAAATCGATATAATGAATTCCCATATAGAAGTACATGGGAACTTGGTTCTTACCTACAACATCGCAATACTTATAGGCGTAGGGTGATGAAAGGGGTGATTTACCTATAAAAATCTACATTATTTACTTTGAATTTTGCAGAATAATTACAAAACCAATATTATCGCGAGCTGATTAATAAATACAGGGATTCCAATAAGTATGTACTTACTAGCGAAAAATGTGTTATTTGTCATTATATTAAGTAAACCTTTTTTGTAACATTAAGTAATATCGTTAAAAAATGAAAAACAGTAAAATTGTGACTTTTTCATTAAAATTCAATAATCATAAATACCTATTATGATAATATATTTTTCATCATTTAATAAGAAGGAACTGTATCACAGTTTTATTGTTAGTGTTTCGTATAGGATCAGATACTGCGAATAGCCCATTTTTTTTTCTTTTACATAGTACACCGCGCTATAACTGTAACTTTTTACCCGGCTGCGCAATGCAAGAGCGCGAAGCGCGACGCGCAGACAGGGTTATGTGTTTAACAGTCTATATATGTATGTTTGTTCCTTTGTGGCACACTAGAGACCAAACGCCTGGACCGATTTTGATGATTCATACATCAATCGATTCGTCTCAATTATGGGAGTGCTACTAAAGATGTGATAGTAATCAAAATTCAATATGGGCAAAATTGGGCGCCATATTGTGACGAAGAAAAAAAAATAAGTTGACAAAATATGTCGAGTGGGGTATCACTGTCTAGATAATCAAAAATCATATTTAGGTTCCTAACACCATTTTTCATTTGATATGATTGTTTAGGATCTACAACGCTTTAAAGTTGTATATTAACCACTTACGCTTTTAATTTCAATCTTAAGTTTGTATAGATCTTTGTTACTCTTTTACCTAAAAAATACTGAATGGATTTTAATGAAACTTAACAGTAATATAGCTCATATATGATAGTTACATATATATAATAATTTATGTAGTTATTGAGTGAATTGGCCAATATATAACAATAAGTGTCACATAAGACGGAAAAAAATCTCCCATCTGCGAGCCATTTTGGCCTGCACTGCAAAAACAATAAAAGTTACATGAATGTAATGTAGATTGAAAATGTATCTCTTAAATAGTTCTAAAAAAAAGTCCGTGACACCATATATCTATTTTTAATGTGTAAGTCTTTACCGCTAAAATAGTGAATCAAAAGTAAAATATTATTTGATATCTATTTCCAAAATGCACATTTTGTATTAACAAATCATTTTTTATCAAAACAAATACTTTTATCGCTTTTCATATTTAAAGACGATAAACTTTGCTTTTTACACTATGTCATTTCGACAAATATTTAAAAAGTTACAACGATGACAAAGTGATAGCGCGGTGTATTGTGTAAAAGAAAAAAAAATGGGCTATTCGCAGTATCTGATCCTATACGAAACACTAACAATAAAACTGTGATACAGTTCCTTCTTATTAAATGATGAAAAATATATTATCATAATAGGTATTTATGATTATTGAATTTTAATGAAAAAGTCACAATTTTACTGTTTTTCATTTTTTTAACGATATTACTTAATGTTACAAAAAAGGTTTACTTAATATAATGACAAATAACCCATTTTTCGCTAGTAAGTACATACTTATTGGAATCCCTGTATTTATTAATCAGCTCGCGATAATATTGGTTTTGTAATTATTCTGCGAAATTCAAAGTAAATAATGTAGATTTTTATAGGTAAATCACCCCTTTCATCACCCTACGCCTATATGTATTGCGATGTTGTAGCTAAGAACCAAGTTCCCATCTACTTCTATATGGAAATTCATTATATTCGATTTAGCTATTAGGGCACGGAAGCGCAACAAACAAACTCACTTTCGCATCTTTAATATTATATTATACTTACTAGTGATCCGCCCGGGCATTGTACAGGCGAAATTTATTTATCGGGATAAAATATAGCCTATGTCACTCAGACAAAATGTATTTAAATAAAGAAAAATGTAATAATAAATAATGTAGCTACCTTATGATGAATTAATATTTGAAACCGGTTCAGTAGTTTGACAGATTATTTGTTACAAACATACAAATCTTGCCTCTTTATAATATTAGTATAGATAGTTAGGATAAGATAAGTATTTAATTGATGAAAAAGATTTAAAAATAAACTAAGTAATAGGTTTATTTGATTATATTTGTAAAAGTAACTTAGCATTTGTGCTTAACAGTGATACGTTATTCGGTATTTTTTTAAACAAAAAAAAAATGGAAAATAATTGCCATGATTGCACTACTGGGAGTACTCTTCATTCGAGCTTTACACTACCAATAACAATAAAAAAGGGTCGATCACAAAGTCTTTGACCTGTTATATGTGAACGCTTTAAAAGAAAACTACAAAGAGAACTATAAATTGATAATAAATGAGGTTGCTATGGTGCTCTACCTAACGTTATGAAAATTTTATTATGCGCCTTTAGTTCAATCAAATATTATAAACTTTGCTTTGGTGATTGCATAATTATTTAATTTAGTGATCTAAGGCAGTTGCCACCATTGTCCAAAACAACAAACGGCAATTACTGCTTTCTTCAACCTGCGACATAAACGTCATTGATTGGAATTGTATATAGGGTGATTAAAAACATTTGAAGTTAACTTCTGGCATCTACATATTGGGTTTCTGTGAATTATGTAGGTATATTATGAGACTAGGGACTGACACTGCATTTGTGTATATCACAATCTTAGACGTCCGGCATTGACATGACAATGCAGCCACTGCCAATTTTAAATAGTCGACGAATAAAAGTAAATGAATTTTATATTTACTGCAAAACTATTAAAAATACATAAACAAAATATGACTTTTTGAGTAAGTGCTAGTTTACTATAAAATTTACATACATTAGAGATATTTATGTAACGACTTGATTTAACTTCACACATTTTTGCGAAAATTGAGGCCCATCTGTAGCCTTGACTCCGCTGGTAAAGTCTCTATATGTCTTAATAAATCAATCTTTTAGACCGACGCAAGGTACTTAATAATTCCCGCGATATTAATTCCCTTACTGAAGTAACAAGACTACGGTATATACCGTCTTAAAATACTAACTAACTAAAAAGTGTGAAATAAAAAAGGTAAATTTAAAAAATCAAATAACCCGACTGCTTTATTATCTATACTTATAATAAATCTGTAGTGATGTCAATTCTGTACATGAAATATATTTTTAAAAAAACTATCAGGGGGTGATAAGTGATCGATACTGATGCCAAAAATGCAATCAGTAAATTTTTTGTCTGTCTGTCTGTCTGTCTGTGTGTTCCTTATAGAAACAAAAACTACTCGACGGATTTTAACGAAACTTGGTACAATTATTCTTCATACTCCTGGGCAGGTTATAGTATACTTTTCATTACGCTACAATCAATAGGAGCAGAGTAGTGAAGGGAAATGTTGGGAAACGGGAGAAGTTACTCCATTTTTTAAGCTTCCGTCGCGTGTGCAGCCTTAATCATTAAAGTTACATAGAAATCATGTATGACGGAAATATTCTACATAAAATTGTCTAAAA